GCCAAGGCTACACAGAGAAACCTTATTTCAAACCACAAAAACAACAATAACAAAATAATCAGTTTTGAGCTGGGACTTTTGGCACATACCTTCAATGTCTGCGCTCTAGAGGCAGGAGGTCACTGAGTTGAAGGCCAGCCTGGTCTACAGATTGAGAGTGCTAGGGCTAGCTACACACAGAAAACCTGTCTTGAAAAACTGAAAGCGAGGAGGAGGAGGAGGAGGAGGAAGAGGAAGAGAGCCTCAGAGAAAGGACCAGGGCAGTGAATGTACAGAAGCCCAGTCATTCATCAATGAATAACCACTGTGGAGTGACTGACCAATTTTCCCTGGAAAGACAACTACACACACACATACACACACACACACACACACACACACACACACACACACACACACACCAATTTACCCTAGAAAGGGAACCCATAACCAACCAACAAACAAAAAATTCCTTTGCACCAGTGTCTAATTTGGAGGAACAATGCATTTTTCCTTGGTGTTATTAACAGTCCTATTGGTGAGGTGTTACAAGAAGCAAGGAGAAAGTGACTGTGTCCCTAGCAAGTGGCTTAGCAGCCAAATGTCTTTTTCTTTCTGGAGTCGTTCTCTGTTACCCACCACGATAATCCCCACTAGAGTTGGCTTCTTTTGGATAAGTGCAAATAGCTGTATGTTTATGCAGCCGACCACCAGCCTGTTGGCTAAGAGTCACCCTCTCTGTCGAAGAGACTCAAAGAGGATTAGGTGAACTTCCATCAGTCTCTCCAAATCTCCTTTTTCACCTGACAGATGGGGACAAAAAGTTGTCAGAGTTGTGTGATATCCCCTCCCCCAACCCACCTCAGTTTGATTCTTGGATCAATCCGAGCAAGTTAGACGCTTCTCCCCCACTCCCAGGGTGCTTAAGAAGAAAGCCTCAGTCAGTCTCTGTCTCAACCTAAGTAAATCATTGAAAGGAAATCAGACAGTTATCTATATCCCGTATAAAAATCGAACTCTAAATGTGAAACCTTCCACACTGGAGCTGTGAGCATGCATGCAGGCAGGCCAGCAAGCAGGTGAAACACCGACACACACACACAAGAAGTAATAAAGTCAAAAACTAACCAACAAACAAGAAAAATTCAGTGCCAAGATAGAGTGAGCCAAGAGGGCCAGCTAATAACAGACTCAGCATCACTCATCACACACTGAATGAGGAATGGGACAAAACAGAAATCTAGAATGTGTGTGTGTGTGTGTGTGTGTGTGTGTGTGTATGAGAGAGAGTGAGTGAGAAAGAGAGAGAGAGAGAGAATCCCTCAAGAAAATGAATAGAAAGCACTATGCAACTAGAAAATGAATAGAAAGCACTATGCAACTACTCCTGGCACACAGTAAAATCAGCCATATGTGGAAATTTATAGCTCTATTGCTCACCTTTAAAAATAATCTAAGTGCTCAAATAATTGACCTTAGTAACACCACATAAAAAATAACCAAATCAAACATTAGAAAGTACACCTTTCAAGAATTAGGAAAGCTGGGCAGTGATGGTGCAGGCCTTTAGTCCCAGCACTCACTTGGGAGGCAGAGGCAGGTGGATCTCTGTTAGTTTGAAGCCAGCCTGGTCTAAAGCTAGTTCCAGGACAGCTAGGGCTGTTACACGGAGAAATCCTGTCCTCAAAACAAAACAAAACAAAACCCAAACAAACAAATTAGGAAAAATATAAGCAAATCACACAGGTACCCACTACCCACTAGCAGGCAAGTAATAACAATCAAAGATGAAATATAAAATGTAGAAAGTGTTTGATGAAATCCAACAAGCCAGCACAGTGGTAATGGTGCACACCTTTTATTCCAGCACTTGAAAGGCAGAGGTAAGCTGATCTCAGTGAGTTCGAGGTGGCCTATGGGCTGAAGATGGATGCCCCAACGTTACAGAGGAACTTCGAGTGACTGTCCAGGTAGCTAGATGTCTCTGTCAACCCTAGTGTTTATATATTATCCTTCTGTGGTCTTTGATGGAGTTGAAGGCAGGTAGTTATCATCATAGTTTTCCTTAGTTATGATAAAAGATAAGCTACATATAAGACTTGAGACTCATACAGATAGGATAGATGATAAAATACTTTCTTTAAATCTTACTGTTAATGAACAAAATATTGTAACTTTATTCTTACTTGATGCCTTCTCTGTTATATATAATTTGATTTTGTTAAAGTTAAAACCTTTCTTTTTATTTGACAGAAAAGAGAAGATGATGGGAGATGCCATTCTGTAAATCTGTCTCTTATTGGTTGCTGAATAAAGCACTGTTGGCCAATAGGGAAGTAAGATAGGTGGGACTAGGAGTCGAGCAGGATTCTGAGAAAGAGAAATACAGGGAGTCATCATGTAGCCGCCATAGGGGTAAAAAGCCCGGACCCTTTCTCCAGTAAGAGAAATACTTAGATTATGAGTAAATACTTAAGTCAGAGCTAGCCAGTAAGAAACAAGCAAGGCCAACAGCTTCATTATTAACATAGCGTCCTGTGTGTTCATTTGGGACTGATGCAGCTCTTGGACCAGGCTGGCGGGAAAGCTTCTCTCTACAAGCCTAGTCTACAAAGTGAGCTCCCGGACACCTAGGATGGTTACACAGAGAAAATATGTCTGGAAAAACAGACAAAAAAATCCAACATCTTTAATCTCAGCACTTGGAAGGCAGAGGTTGGCAGATCTCAGTGAGTCTGAAGCCAGCCTGCTCTACAGAGTGAGCTCCAGGTCAGCTAGGATTGTTACACAGAGAAATCCTGTCTGGAAAAACAAAAAACAAACAAAAAATCCAACATGTCTTCATGATCAAAGTTGTACAGCTAGCTGGACTAGAGTGAACATATGTCTATCAAATAAAAGCTAGAATTTTAAAGCATTGTAAAAGATGAGACTCTTACAGTCAATATCATCCCAAATTGAGAAAAACTTGAAGCAACTCAGCAGGAGACAAACAGGTGCCCAGTGAACTCTTACTGTTCTTCACGCCCTCAGAGTGTCCCTGGGTATTTAGGGAACACCTAAAATAAAGTGTTTCTGTTTTTGACAACCATTCTATGCCCCTCAGAGGTCATTTGGACATTTGAAAGGATTTGTTTTTGTTTCAGGTAAGTAGGAGGCTTCTCTGACAGAACTCTGAAACAGTAATGTGGATTCTAGCCCATTTCTGTTCCCTCCTGTCTGTCATGTCTCTTGTCTTTTGTGGGGTCACCGTCCTACCAATAAGCAACTGACAGCCATCCATAATGCTAATTTCAGCAGACCCACTGCCTTTCTTCTGACTTGCAAAGGCACCAGGCACTGGCAGGGTTCACAGGTAGACTTGTGTATGTGTATGTATCGTAACAAGTATGTGTATACATGGATGTCACGTGTGTACATGGATGTTGCCCTCATCTTTCATGATGGGCCAATGGCACCATCACAGTGGGGTTGGACTCGGGAGTCTAAGACCCAAATCTCTGCTGGGTGGTGTGGTGAGCACAGGAAACCAGAGCCCTCCCCCGGAACACCCGTGCACCATCTCTCAGGCTCTCAGCTCCCCTGCCCAAGTCGTCTGGGTTCTCGGAGACAGTTTGGGATCTTTTGATTGTTGCTGCTCGGAGACAGTTTGGGATCTCTCTTTCTCTTGCTTGTTGCATATGAGGTGGACTGACCCTGGCGTTCCCTAAGATGGGAGCAAGTGGGCTGGAAGGACTGGCAGGTTGGGTGTACTCCCACCACTGCGGTCATCCAGTTCCTCTGTGCCCACGACTGGGACTGAGCCCTACACCTCTCTGCTTTTCAACAAGGGACCAGGTCCCTCGCTTGAGAATCTCCAGGAGGTGCCTAATTTTCTAGCTAGGGTGTGTCTAATGGCTTGCTGAACCTTGTGGAGAGGAAGAGGGCTGTCTGGGCAGCAGGAGGCAGGAGGAGCCTGTGAAGGCGAGCAGGCAAAGTGAGGATGAGGCTTTCATTTTCATCCCACCAAACCCCTTGCTTATAAATCAGATACTCCCAAGCACTGTTTCTGCTTGGTCCTTTGTTTTTTTCTATTCCAAGTTGCTTATATTGAGTTCACCTCCTCCTTCTCATTTTGAGACAGGGTTTTTCTGTGTAGCCTTGGCTGTCCTGCAACTCTGCCTTCTCCTCTTGAGTGCTGGGGTCAAAGGTATGCACCACCAACGCCTCTGCCACCACGCTTTATATTTCTATTCATTTATCTTATTGAGATGGGAGTAGGGGTGGGGATGGGGAACATCTCTGTACATAGCCCTTGAAATCATGACTCAGACCAGGCCTGCCTCCATTTCACAGACTTCCAGGCTCTGCCTAAGGGTGATGGATTAAACATGTGCATCTCCATGCCTGCCTGCCTGCCAGCTTCCTTTTATTGTACATTTAGTTTAATTTTAAATTTTGGTCAGGTCATGTGTTTCTCTTCTCTCTCTCTCTGTGTGTCTCTCTCTGTCTGTCTGTGTGTGTGTGTGTGTGTGTGTGTGAGAGAGAGAGAGAGAGAGAGAGAGAGAGAGAGAGAGAGAGAGTTAAGATATAAAGAAAGACACTTTCTAGGTCACAGTTCAAAAATTCTTTAGCAAAGGTGTGGTTGGCTCACCAAGGTGGAAGCAACCATGTGTAACCTCCAGGAAGATAAACCAGAAAGACATCACCATTTAAATAACCCGTATACCCACTGAACCCTTTATTGATCATAGTATCTCTCTCTTTTTAAAATTAGACCAAGGAGGCAATACCAGGCCTCTTAGATGGTCTGTTTCATTTTGTTTTTCTTAATATTCTCTTTGTGTCATGATACAGCAGTCCCTGAGTTCTTTTCAATGTCTGGGTCTGAGTGTATTAGCTTGTGTTTTTTGTTTCTTGTTTTTTTCCTCCAGTTAGTTGGCAGGCAGTCAGGCAGGGGCTGGCTGCCCTGAGTTGGAAGTGGCTGGGGATATGGCAGGGTGGGGGCCAGGATTTGAAATTAAAAGTCAATAAACAACCAGAAATTTTCATTCATTTATTTATCCATCCATCCATTTATTTATTTATTCACTTGTTTACATTATTGAGTATACAGTGAAAGAGGGCATATGAGTCAAGAGGAAGGAATGTGGCATGGACCACCACTTGGTGACCATTGCCATTTGACAAAGTTCCAACATTTCAACATTGCAAGCAGACCACACTTGTCCAGCACCTTTTTAACTTTCATTCCTAATCGTTCTTGATATCATCAATGCTTTTCCCTTTGGGAAATTTAGTGTGAGCTTTGGTAGAGGACAAAAATCGTGTATAGTGATAGCCTAGGCTCTCTAAACAAAATAATTCTTTGTGGGAAAAACAAAATCCCCGACACCAGGGGACCAGGAATTCCACTGTGCCCTCCTAATGAACAGGAATAGGAATGTTAGAAATTTACTAGACACGCCAGATGGCAGTGATGAAATGCCTACAGGGGTTAGAGTCCAAGGGAGCCTGAACCCATTAAAGGCAAGAATTCAGCTCACTGATAAACACAGTGAAATCAGAATGGTACATTATCCTAGTAGAAGACTGAGATGTCAGAACCTTCCCTTTTGGGTGAGTTAGCAGGGGAGAAACGGCAGTGTCATTAAGCGTCTGCTCCCCAGAAGTTATACTTCCCCGAGATCAGGCATTTGATAAGGGTCTCCATTCCTTCCTTCCCTAGGGAGGAACTCAATGGCCCTTCCATTAACATATGACTGGTGTTCCCAGGCAGGGGTGGTACAAGTCTTTAATCCCAGTGCTTGCTCACTGGGGAGGCAGAGCCAGGCATATCTCAGTGAGTCCTAGGCCAACCTGGTCAAACACAACCAAGTTGTTCCAGGACAGCCAAGGCTACACAGAGAAAATGAGTCTCAAAAACAAACAAACAAGCAAGCAAGCAAGCAAGCAAACAAACCCACAAGAAGCCAAAAATCAAAACAAACAACAACAAAGACAAAAATCTATGAAGACTGGTGCCTGTTGTTAGACCCTCAACCCCTGACGGCAAGCCACACCCACAGTACATATTCCCCTTGTCTCCCATTTAATCCTAGGTGCAACTATAATATAAGGTGGGATATTTTCTCAATGAAATGCTATTGGCAGAATCCTGACTCACCCTCAGATAGTGGCAGTCTCCTCCTCCACACAGTTTCTTAGGACCTGCCTGTATCCCCTGAGTGAAGCAGGAGTCTTCCTTCTTATGTTGAGGTGATGAAGTTCCTTCTTTTTTTGCATGTCACAGGCGGGCTGGTGTATAGTCCCAGAGGCAGGTGGATCTCTGATCAAACACAAGAAAAGAAAATGAATGAATTGCTTTATTTGAACAGTTTTAGGGAATATAGTGATTTAATAGTAGTCCTTTATTTACATTGGCTCACCAGGCAACATCTTCCTCACCACAATGCTATCGTGCGCGTGTGTGTGTGTGTGTGTGTGTGTGCCTGTCTATCTGTCCTGCCAGCACTGAAGGATACAAATAAACAAACAAACAACATCAAACAGAATGTTGAAGTGGGATGTGCCAACACTCACCTTTTAGCCCCAGCACGAGTGAGTTGGAGGCAAGCATGTTTTTCTCAGCCAGATGTTGCCAGGATAGCCAGGCAGGGCAAGAGAGATAGGAAAAATGAAAATAATTGACTCATATTACAAATAAATACATTTATAAATAAATAAATAAACAAGCTATACACAGGTTCAGGACTAGAAAAGCCCTGTCTGCTAGAAACCAAAATTCAAACAAGAGAGCAGGATATCCAGGAAAACCCTGCCTGTCTCGAAAGAAAAAAAAAAAAAAAGAAAAAGAAAAGAGAGAAAGAAAAAAATCCATCACTACCACCACCACTGATGAACAGACACATAGATTCAGAAGCAGAGCTGGTATAGTCTCATCTCATAATTCATGTGACCAAATCACAGGAAGCATAACCACAAATTTTGAATATCCCTAATATTCAAAAACAATAAAAAAATCCACAGGGTTAGTGTTAGAGGAAATCTGCCTCAACAAAAAAATAATAATAAAAGTAAAATAAAACTTAACAGAAGGAAGGAAAGAAGGAAGGAAGGAAAGAAGGAAGGAAGGAAAGAAGGAAGGAAGGAAAGACGATAAAGAGGAAATGGAAAAAGACAAAGCAGGCTGGTTGACAAGGCAGTTCCTGACAATTCCCTAGGATGTGATGCCCTCTTCTGGTATAAAGGTGTACATGCACATTGGTACACATCAAATAAATAAGTAAATGAATGAATGAATGAATGCATAGACAAAGACAGGAAAAGAAATAGATGAACAAAATTAATGAATGAGTGAAAAAACAAATAAATAAATAAATAAATGTGTGTGGGGTTCAGGACAACTGATGAAAGACCACCCCCCCAAAAAAAGAAGTAGGTGAAGTGTCTGTCCTTCCCCGTGATTTCATGCATTCACTCAATAAAGTTCAAAAGGTCAACTGGTCAACCTACATAAAAAAAAAATTCCACAGAGACAACTGGTCAACCTTCATAAATTTATATACATATATAATTATTTTTTTTAAAAAATGCACAGAGAAAACTGGTGGACCTCTCTCTCTCTCTCTCTCTCTCTCTCTCTCTCTCTCTCTCTCTCTCTCTCTCTCTCTCTCTCTCTCTCTTCTCTCTCCCCTGACCTATGGCCACCAGCCACCAGAACCTTCCTGCCACCGAATGCCCCAGAGAGACCTGGAGGCAGAACAAAACATCACCACCACCCTCCAGGAAAACAGTGAGTGCTGGGGGCTCTTGCAGCCCACCTTTCCCTCATTGAATTCTCTTACCTGTAGCCACCAAACCAATCCCACCACAGAATGCCCCAGAGATACCTGGAGGCAAAACAAAGCTTCCAGCATTGGCCGCAATCCCTGTCTTGCCCCTCCAGCCTCTGGGAAAGAGGAGAAGATAGAGCCTTGAGCCCATACCCACCAGGAGAGGGAGAGACTCCACCAATACCCACTGGAAGAAGAAATGGGAAGACGACAGTGTAAGAACACATTGAACAACAGAAAGACTTATATGACACCACCACAGTCTAGGGGTTCTACAGCAGCAAGACCTGAACATCTCACACAGATGAAGCAGAAGAAAATGACCTTAAAATCAACTTTATGAAAATGATAGAGGCCCTCAAAGAGGAAATGAGAAAATCCCTTAAAGAAATGGAAAAAATAAACAAAAAAATTGGAATAGAGGAAAAGGCAACCCCAAAATGAAAGAAATCAACAAATCTCTTAAAGAAAGCAAGGAAAACCAAGAAAAAACAATTGTCAGGGACCTCTGCCATAATCCTGCCAGAGCATTATCATGCTCTCCTCATAGAGAAGTATGACTCCAGGCCACACTGCAGAAATACCGCTTCTTAAGATAGGAAGCAAGTTCTGAGAAAACAGACTTGCGACTTATCCGCCTAGGGAAAATTACCAAGTCACTTGGGCGTAGGCTTGAGCAATAGAGGGTAGATTGTGAAAGACAAAGTTATAACCTGCAGTTAGGTTACCAGGCGACACAGGATGGCTTAACCCTCCCACTGACCTCGCTCCACCAGGCTCATCGCAGCTGCAGTTAACACCCCCATTCCCTCCCCTCCTCACTTCCCACCTACGGTCTTATAAAAATCCCTTTGGGATGAATAAAGGTTGTCCTGTTAATCAGAATCTTGTCTTGCTGTCCGTTTTGTACTCCCTGTCCATCATTTTCTCCTAGGTGTCCCCAGTCTTACGCTGACTGTTCCCCCCAGCATGGTCAAACAATCAAACAGATGAAGGAAACAATTCAAACAGTCCAAGACCTGAAAAATGAAATAGAGACAATAAAGAAAACACAAACTGAGGGAATGCTGGAAATAGAAAACATGGGTAAATGATCAGGAACTACAGATGCAAGCACACCCAACAGAATATAAGAGATGGAAGAGAGAATCTCAGGTGCTGAAGATAAACTAGAGGAAATAGATTCATTGACCAAAGAAAATCTTAAGTCCAACAAATCCTTAATACAAAATATCCAGGAAATATGGGACACCATGAAAAGACCAAACCTAAGAATAATAGGTACAGAAAAAGGCAAAGAAGCCTGGCTCAAAGGTGCAGAAAACATATTCAACAAAATCATAGAAGAAAACTTTCCCAAACTGAAGAAGGACATGCCAATGAAAGTACAAGAAGCTTACTGAACACCACGTAAAATGGACAAAAAAAAAAGTACACTCACCACATAATAAAGCACCAAACATAAAGAATAAAGAAAGAATATGAAGAGCAGCAAAAGAAAAAGGCAAATGACAGTGGGATGGGCACTGGGGGCAGTGTGGTGGACAAAGCAGACACTATGGTGGTACTGGGGGCACTGGGGTGGACACTGTGGATAGTGGGTTGGACACAGAGCACATTGGGGTTGACACTGGGGACAGTGGAGTGGACACGGGGGCAGTGGGGTGGACACTTGGGGCAGTGGGATGGACACTTGGGGTAGTGGGGTGGACACTGTGCATACTTTGATGGATACTGTGGACAGTGGGATGGACCCTGAAGACAATAGGGTTGACAATGGGGACATACAGGTGACACTGAGCACACCAAGCTGGAATCTGGGGACAGTAGGATGGACACTGGGGCAGTGGGTTGGAAACTTCGGACACTGTGGTGGAAACTGGGGACAGTGAGAACACTGGGGTGGACAATGGGGACAGTGGGTTGGACACTGTGAACATTGGGGTGGACACAGGACACTGTGTTGGAAACTGGGGAAAGTTGGGTGAACCCTGGGGGCAGTGAAGTGGACACTGGACGCAATGGGTGGACACTGCAGACACTGTGGTGGACACTGTTGGCAATGGGGCGGATCCTGGAGACAGTGGTGAGGACATTGGTAACAAGGGTGGACACTGGGCCCAGGTGGGTGGACATTGTGGACAGTGGGGTGGGGACAGAGGGGCTCAGTGGGTTGGACACAGGTGACAGTGTTGTGGGACACTGGAGTGACAGTGGTGTTGGGCACTTGGGACATTATGTTGGTATGCTGAGGGACGGTGGGTAGACACTAAGGATAGTGATATGGATACTGGGGACAGTGGTATGGACACTAAGGACAGTGGGATGGACACTGGGGATAGGGGTGGAAACTGAACAGTGTGGTAGGCACTGGGGACAGTGGGTGGATACTGGTGAAACTGACTTTGACACAGTGTCTCAGCACTCACATGCAGTGTCACAGCACTCACTCACATGCACAGTGTCACAGCACTCACATGCAGTGTCACAGCACTCACATACAGTGTCACAGCACTCACATGCAGTGTCACAGCACTCACATACAGTGTCACAGCACTCACATGCAGTGTCACAGAACTCACATGCAGTGTCACAGCACACACACAGTGTCACAGCACTCACATGCAGTGTCACAGCGCTCACATACAGTGCCACAGCACTCACATGCAGTGTCACAGCACACACACAGTGTCATAGCACACACATGCAGTGTCACAGCACTGACTCACATGCAGTGTCACAGCACTCACATACAGTGTCACAGCACTCACATGCAGTGTCACAGCACTCACATGCAGTGTCACAGCACACACATGCAGTGTCACAGCACTCACATGCAGTGTCACAGCACTCACATACAGTGTCACAGCACTCACATACAGTGTCACAGCACTCACATGCAGTGTCACAGCACTCACATACAGTGTCACAGCACTCACATGCAGTGTCACAGAACTCACATGCAGTGTCACAGCACACACACAGTGTCACAGCACTCACATGCAGTGTCACAGCGCTCACATACAGTGCCACAGCACTCACATGCAGTGTCACAGCACACACACAGTGTCATAGCACACACATGCAGTGTCACAGCACTGACTCACATGCAGTGTCACAGCACTCACTTGCACAGTGTCACAGCACTCACAGGCACAGTGTAAGAGATATTGTCCTTTTTCACAGAAAAGACAATGCACTTCATCTACGCATACTCACAATTTTACACTCATTGATAATTACAATAGCATTTGAACTAGCTTCTTTTCCGAGAGAAACAATGCATTTGTTTTAACTATTCTCACTACTCTACCGAAATTTCTATCTACAGTTCAAAGAGATTGTACTCTTTTCCTAGAAGAGACAATGCATTTCTTTCAGGATACATACTATTCTTTTTCAAGTTGATTGTATCAATGAAAGAGATGCTGCCTCCTTTCCTACAAAACAAAAAAGTGATTCTTGTGAACATACTCCCTCTTCCATTAACATTGCTAAATCAGTTTAAGAGTTATGGCCCTTTATCCCAGAAAATCTGTGCATTTCATTTAAGCCAGCTCACATTTATAGTCACATTGATAATTGCTGCAGAAGTTGAAGGGGGCCAATTTTCCAAGAAAGACAATGAATTTGTTTTCACCTTATTCACTATTGCATTCACCTATGCTCTCTATTGCTCTTATTCTTGGGAAGTTTGAAACAATTTGATAGCTACTTTGATGTGCCAAATTGCTGCATTAAAGCTTTTTCAGACAGGTATTAAAATGTTATTCTGCATGTGTCTGTGAAAATATTTCTGAAAGGATTTATTGACTGAGTAAGAAACTTAGGAAAGTGGGCAGCCTTCGCCAGGGTGGGTGGGCATCACTCACAAAAAGGTGATGGGAATGCAATTTGCAATGTCTTCAGGCCCTTGCCCAAATCCTTGAGAAGTGTTGTAGCCTGAGGTTGCTACAACATAAATCTGCTGCTACTGCCAGCCCTGAGTTTTTAGGATTCAGAATTATACTACTGGCTTACACTGATAAATAACATCATGTTACTTTTTTTAATCTTGTGAATCACCCTCAATAGATCTTCTCCTACTGGTTTTGTTTTGCTTGAAAATTATCAGTAATTACTGATTTTCTTAAATAAAAATAGAAAATACATCAGCACATTTTAGAAACTGAGTCTCCTGCTTTCTTTTTTTTATTTAAATTAGAAACAAGCTTGTTTTACATGTTAATCCCAGTTTCCTCTCCCTCCCCTCTTCCCCTGCCCTCTACCGACCCCCTATCCCATCCCCTTTCTGCTCCCCAGGGAGGGTGAGGCCTTCCATGTGGGATCTTCAAAGTCTGTCGTATCATTTGAAGAAGGGCCTAGACCCTCCCCTGTGTGTCTAGGCTGAGAGAGTATCCCTCTGTGTGGAGTGGGCTCATAAAGTCCATTCATGTACTAGAGATTAATAATGATCCACTACCATAGGTCCCATAGATTAACCAAATTGACATCCTTGTTCAGGGGTCTGGATCGGTCCTATGCTGGTTTCCCAGCTATCAGTCAGGGGTCCATGAGCTCCCCCTTGTTCAGGTCAGCTGTTTCTGTTGGTTTCTCCAGCCTGGTCTTGACCACTTTGCTCATTGATGGGGGCAGTCCTTCTGTGTATATGTTTGTTTTGTTGGTTGATAAATAAAGTACTGTTGGCCAATAGGGAAACAGATAGGTGGGACTAGGGGTAAAGGAGGATTCTGGGAAATGTAGTCAAGGGTAGAGGGTCGCCA